ACGGAAGAATTTGGCTGACAGCACGTTCAGCTCGTGAGACAATGCTTTTGGCCAATACTCTTGCGCTGGCCGACTATGTCGCCCCGGAGGTTGCTCTTCAATTTGCAGAAGATATTTTCTGAGTCCCTACTTTCCCTATTTTTATGTGAAACCTCAGAGAAAACGATCCTGTATAAAACTTGCTGTATTTACTGCAGTCGAGTTATGCGTTTGGGCTTGTTCAGTAGTAGTAGTAGTAGTAGTGGTAGTAGATAAATTATTTGTTTTATTTATTTCGAATAGCAGGCATTTTAATAGTTATCATTAGTCCTTTAGCTGACTTCGGGCTTCACAGAGGGGGGAGGGGAACATCAAAGCGACAGAATAATGATTAATAGATGTAAAAGAGGCAGACAGACAGACAGACACAAAAGCAGAGAAAGGGTAAGATGAGTACTATGAAGGGTTAGAAAAGGTAGGAAAAGGGTAAGATGAGTACTATGAAGGGAGTCGAATATGACATATAGTGAGGTGATGGTAGTTTGAAGTCAGAAGTCAACTTCCGATTAACAGACTGTTTTGCTGTATGAGTATACGTTGCCCAGGGTACACCACGTTGGGGTAAGTCTATCGCGCACCCCGTAGTAGATAAGTTATTTATTGCCTATATACTTCTGCCAAGCCGAAGGCTTCGAGATTGATACTCATTGGGGGGTAGATCTACTGATGTGAGTAGGATTTGAGTTTCCCATAAGAGGGTCTATAGAACGCCTTCTCTTTTCCAAAGTGAAGGGTTGGTAAAGCTTCTCCTAAATTATACACTAAACCACTCGTAAAATTGGACGAGGAAGATGGGGGGCGGGGTTTGATCCATGGGATTTTTAAACTCACATCACTTAGTTGAGGCTAATACGTGTTGTTGCATCCATAAAATTGGCGCTAGAAGTCCTTGTTGGCCATAAGTGAAAATTGCCTCCTTTTCTAAGAGCATTCACCAATTTTGTTCGACCTCCATTGAGGAGTATTTTATTTGTCTAGCGGTCTTGGCTGATTTGTCACAGACACTGCCATGTGTAAACTTTCAAATTCCTTTTGGTATCTGAAGGGTGTAAGGTAAGAGAACTAGGTGGGGTCTTCTTTGTTGAAGGTCGGTCAGTTTGGGTATAAAGCTAATTGGAATTTTTACGACAAAATAAAGTATCTCCTTTCACTGCAGCATGGCTTGTAATATTTTGATGGATAGGCAGATTATACTCACTACAAGTTGGTAAATATGGAGTTGCAGAACCCGAAAAAATTATTTTTCAGAATGGATGAGCTTTTTTGTTTATATCGCTCAAACGGGGATTTTTTAGTCGGCAGTTATACAGATGAACTTTAACAGTACACAAGAGTACATACGAGCAATTTTCAATCCCCTTGAAAAATTCCCAGGAACATTTAAGAAAGCGTTTTCCACCATTCATCATAGTGGACTACTCTAATGTGAAGATTTAAAGATTTGACTACAGTGAATTGAGCATTATTTCCTTTCAGTAGAAAACTAATTTCGAGCCTTGCCTTTTGGTACTATCTTAATTTTCCTTGAAATAGTTCGATTGGCCATGCGGCTAACTGAATATTATTTTGTCAAGGTAAAAATATTATTTTAATTTGAGAAAAACATCTTTACATTAAATATTTCCCTTGGAGAAAATGACAACCATATTTTTATGTCGGCAATATTTCTTGCGAATTGTATGCTTTATGTTTTTGGTCCAGGATGCGCGATAGACTTACCTCCACGTGGTGCACCCTGGACAACGTATTTTCTTACGGCAAAAAAGTCTATCACTTGGCATTCGTTTTTGACTTCAATTTATTATGATTAGCTTTAAAAAAGGCTATAAGAAAAATCGCCCTCGTCAGGGCGAATCACAACGTCTTCAGATCCTCCAGTGGAATGCTGGAGGAATGTCTCCGGACAAAAAGATCCAAGTACAGAAAATCCTACAAACCTATGATGTAGACATTTTCACAATTATGGAAGCTAACATTTCGGATGACAAATTGAAGTATTACCAATTCCCAGGTTACACTCTGTAAAATCTACCTAAATACCGGCAAGTTGCAAGTGGAATTCTAACTGGAGTTAAAGAAGGCCTCACCTCACACTGCAATCTAATCAAGAGTATGGGCTCGACACAAGACAAATGTGAAATAATCAGATTAAATGTTTGGAAATGTCAAAACCACTTCAAGATATATGCGGTCTATAATCCACCCCAGAATTGTCCCACCTTTGACTTTCTGAACATCTCACACAAAACCATAGTACTAGGAGACTTCAACGCCCACTCCACCAGATGGGGCTACAAGGATACAAACATAGCTGGAAAGGAAATCGAAGACATGCTAAANCATTCTACTCGAAGCATTTGCACTATTTAAAGAATGCAATGTGGGGTGCGCAATAGACTTACCTCCTCGTGGTGCACCCTGGACAGCGTATTTTCTTACGGAAAAAAAGTCTATCAATTCATACGTTTTTGACTTCGATTAATTATGATTAGCTTTGAACCAATTTATTATGATTAGCTTTAAAAAAGGCTATAAGAAAAAGATTATGATTAGATTGAAAAAAGGCTATAAGAGAAATCGCCCTTATTAGCTTTGAAAAAGGCTATAAGAAAAATCGCCCTCGCAGAGCTTTAAAAAAGGCTATAAGAGAAATTGCTCTCGTTAAGGCCAATCACAACGTCTTCAGATCCTCCAGTAGAATGCTGGAGGGAAAAAAGGCTATAAGAAAAATCGCCCTCGTCAGGGCGATTCCAACGTCTTCAGATCCTCCAGTGGAATGCTGAAGGAATGTCATCTAGATCCTCCAGTGGAATGCTGGAGGGATGTCACAGGACAAAAAGGTCCAAGTACAGCAGTGTCAGTGGACACAGGACAAAAAGATCCAAGTCCCGAAAATCCTACAAACCAATGATGCAGACATTTTCACAATTATGGAAGCAAACCTTTCGGATAACAAACTGAAATACTACCAATTCCCAGGTT